TACTAAATCTGGGAATTTTGGAGCCCACGCATATACAAAAAAATATAAAATCGAATGAAAACATAAAGATGATATACCTCAGAATCGAACGCAAAGTTGAGAAACTGTTCCCCCCATAAGCTTGGTGAGAAATTTGCGACTGGGCGAACGATCTCTTTTTCGCAGTTGGTAACATTTTCAACAAGAGCTGAGGCCATTCTGTTTTTTCTTCTGGTATATTATTGAAGAAGAAGAAGTAGAAATTGTTTATGGTGCAATTTATGTTGATATTATAAACTCTAGCTAAAGTTGATGCTGATGATGAAATACTGAAGAGCTACCTCAATTTATAGTATAAATGAATTGTGCAAGGCGGGCTACTATAATATTTTTTTTGAATAGCGCATGTGATCATTCTTGACTATTAGTAAAGACTGGCTTCTCTCTCTCTCTCTTCTTTGTCTAATGTTTTTTTAAAGTCTTAGTCAACAATGGTTACTCTATTAAAATTCTATAATAATATAGGAAACTGAACATGTGGAATTGTGGATTGAGAAAAAGTAATTGGATTATCAGTTCAATTTGTCACAAGGGAAGTTACGGCGAACAAAGGTTAAAATGTGTTGATTCTGAACATTTTTGTTAAACGTAGTGAAAGAGGAAATATTCTTCTGTAGAGAAAATTCAAATTATATAGGTTGAATAATGGAGCCAAATTGTGGCTTCGATGGTCAAATATTAGCGGCATATAGATTGAGATTGTAATTCAGTGGAACTAAATACCATTACTCCTTGGAAATATCATTTTACGGATATGTGGAGGATATGAAATTAGAAAATTGCTACGCCAAAATTGAGTGAAGCCTCTATGTAGGCATATAAAATACAAAGGGTTTGTTTTTGTAATCTTCATCTTTCGTCCGTAGCACAGTTGCAGCAATGTTAAATTCTTGTATTTCATACTCGGACATTTTTGTGATTTTTATTCTTCTCTCTATATATTATTCTTGCATCTCATTAATCTTGATGGAACTAATAATGCCATAATTTCTAATAGATTTTGATACTTGTACATAAAAAATGTACCTAATGGATTATATAATAGGATGTGGGGGGAAAATATTGGATGGAAAATTGATTGTGTTTTAAATTGACAAATGACAAAGTGTCATGTGGCATTATGTAATACATTATATAAATCTTAATGTTCATGTAGCAAAATCCATTTCTAACAACACATTCATTAATCTGAAACATCATATGAACTAATTCAATACCATAAACGTAAAAT